AATATTGCTGAAAGTTATTTAAGTATATTGAGGTACAAGACATATACTTTGGATAGGGATAGAAAGACTCAGAAATGGAAAGGAATTAACTATTTAATACACTTTAAAACATGGATGAATATGAAAACCATTAGGTTGAGTGAAAAATCCAAACAACAGATATACACACTGTGTAGCTTTGTATAAAACCGTAGAAAATGTGAACCTACAGTAATAGAATACAGTGTCCTACTTATCTATGGGTAATGAGGGAGTAAGAAGAAAGTATTACTCAGAGGCAAAATGACACTTTTGGAGGTGACATATTCTCTATATTGTTGAGTAGTGGTTTCACATATAGGTAGATGTGGAAATACACTAAATTTCTCTTTTTGTCAGAGACAGGGTCATACTCTGTTCCCCGGGCTGTGGAGCAGTGGCACCATCATAGTGGGTTCAATCATTCTGGGCTCAATCATTCCTCCTGCTTCAACCTTCTAAGTAGCAGGGATTACAGGTGCACACCACCACACCCAGCTAATTTTTCTTATTTATTTATTTATTTACTTATTTATTTTTGTAATATTGCTCCATTGCCCAGGCTGACCTCAAATTATCCTCCCACATTGGCCCCCAAAGTTCTGGAATTGCAAGCATAAGCTACCACATCCAGCCCAAGTATGTGAACTTTATTGTATAATAGTTATACTATGATAAAACTATTAAAAATAAATAATTTCTAAAAATCATGAAAACAAGCCCTACAGAGGAAAGGATATAAAAAATGAAAAAAAATAGGGAGAAGCATCATTAGTCATTAGGGAAATGGAAAATTAAATATACAATTATATACAAATACATACCATCTAGATGGTCTTTAGACAAAATAAAAGATAATACTGTGTGCTGGGCAAGAATGTATACTAACACACTCATATAAACCATTGGTGGGATTATAAACAAATTATATACATATAAGTTTTCAAAAGTTTTAAGTTATTTTCTAAAACAACTAAATATATGCCAACCTATGACTTAGCAATTCAACACTTAAACTTCTGCACAGCTAAGGACATGGTCAACAAAGCAAATAGACAACCTTCAGAATGGGAGAAAATATTCACATGTTGTAAATTGGACAAAGGGGTAGTGATGAGAATACACAAAGAACTCAAGCAAATCAACAAGAAAGAGCAAACAACCCCATCAATCAATGGACAAGCTGCATGAACAGAGCCTTTTTCCTGAAGTCAGATGAATGGCCAACAAACACATGAAAAAATGCCCATCTCTAATAATCAGAGAAATGCAAAGCAAAACCACTTTGAGATATTACCTAACACAAGTGAGAATAACCCACATCACAAGGTCCCAAAGCTGTAGATGCTGGCAGAGGTGTTGGTGGGATTACAAACTAGTACAGCCTTATGGAAAGAAGTTTGGGAAATCTTAAAAGAACTAAAAGTAGACATCCCATTTGATCCAGCAATCCCATTACTAGGTATCTACTAAGAGAAAAGAAATCATTTTACCATAAAGTCATTTGTACTGGAATGTTTATAGCAGCTCAATTCACAGTTGCAAAGATGTGAAAATAGCCCAAGTGCCCATAAACCCTTGAATGAATCAATAAACTGTGGTATATGTATACTATGAGATACTTTTCAACCATGGTAAATAGTGGATATATTTGGAGATCATTCTCCCAAGTAAAGTGTCTCAAGAATGGAAAAGCAAGAATCCCATGTACTCAGTTCTAATCTGAAAATAATAGATTAACAACTATAGGCCTACACAAGAGAAAAACACAACTAAATTCAAGCAAGGAGAAGGGGGAAAAAGAGCTCCATAAATTCCCACCTATCAGGTAAAATGTAGGAGTATGTGGCACACTTCCCAGATGAAAGACACAACTGCAGCTTAGACTTCGGACTGTACCCTGAAAGCACAAATTATGTGACCTAATCATGTACTTGCATACTAACCAGATTTAAAAAAAAAATTTGAGGGAAAGTGTCTAAAAATGAAATATTCAAAAACATTCACAATATTTTTATTCGTAATATTCAAAAAGTGGAAACAAACCAAATGTTGAACAATGTTAGAAGGATAAGCAAACTGTGCTATAGTCATAGGAATTCTACATGACAACAAAAATAATGAGCCACTACTATATACAAAAAACATGGATGAATCTGAAAGGTATACCCCCTAGTTTAGAAGCCAGAGTTCAGGACCAGTGGCTTATGCCTATAATCCTAGCACACTGGGAGGCCAAAGAGGGAGGATAAATTGAAGCCAGCCATTCAATATCAGCCTAAGCAAAAGTGAGACCCCACCTCTAAAGAAAGTTGAAGAATTCACTGAGCACGGTGGTACACACCTGTGCTCTCAGCTACATCAGAGGGTGAGGCAGGAGAATCATTCAAGCCCAGGATTTGGGGAGTGTTGTAAACCATGATGACACCATTGCACCCTAGCCTGAGCAAAAGAGCAAGACCATTCCACACACAAACACACAAAATAGAAGCCACAAATGTCATATATGCTAACTTTCCATTATACAAATTCAAAAACAGGCAAAACAAATTTATGTGAGTGGTAGTTTTCTTGGGAAAAGGGAGACAGTGTCAATGAGAAAGAACATGAAAGAGTCTTGGTGGAAGTAAATGGTCTTTCAATCTGGTGATTGTTGTATCAGTGTAGACATAAGTTAAAAATTAAATGTAAATTTCAGATGGGTCTACTGTATTGTGTTTTCTCTCAATTAAAAATATATAAAGAGATAAGCTGTAACCAATCAAATATTTAGTGTAAATTTAGGAGATGAATGAAGAATAATTTCACAAGAATAGTTTATGAACCAGTCCAATGAAGAGCTAGTTCAGTAATAGCAGGTGGATAGAGGCTCTTGGAAGAATATTTTCAAGGAGAACAAAATGATACCCATGGATTATAAAATAGGATTAAGGACTTTGAAAAAAAAAAACCTTTAATTTGACAGAAGAATTTGCTTTTTATTTCATAGTTGCTATAACAATAGAAACTCAAAGAAGAACATATAATTCTAGCTTACTATTGGGTTTTAAGATATCCTCTATTCATAGGGTCATGAAAATAAAATATCTTATATTGGCTAATTACCATGCATAACAAATCAGTCTCAAATTTATTAGCTTAAAACAACAAATATTTACCACATCACCCAGTTTCTGAGGGTCAGGAAGTAGGAGCAGGTGAGCAGGTGTTTTGGCTCAGAATTGCTCACAAAGTTGCAGTCAAATGTTAAGCTGGGTTGTAGTTACTGAAGGCTGAACCATGGCTGGAAAGTCTGCTTCCAAGAAGGCTCACTCACATGTCTATTGACTGTCTCAGGACAAGGAAACCTCTGGGAGGTGAGGGGTCATCTCAGTTCTATAACCACAAGAAACTAAATTCTGTCAACAACCTGAATAAAAGACTGGAAGATGGATCCAGGTTTTGAATGAGAATGCAGCCTGGCCAAGACTTGATTCCGGCCTTGTGAGACCCTCCACAAAGAAACCGACCTGTGCTATCACAGATTCTTGACCACTGAACCTGTGAGATAATGAACATGTGTTATTTTAAGTCTGTAACTTTATGGTAATATGTTATATAACAATACATAGAAACTGTTGTATATATTTAGAATAATATATTCAGGGTATCAAGATGAAATTAAGGAACTATAAACTGACTCTTCGTAATGTTTCTTGCTGATTTGCTCAAGTTCTTTGTAGATTCTGGTTATTAGTCTTTTATCAGTTGTATGCATGTGAGTGTTTTCTCCCATTCTGTGGGTTGCCTATTTGCCCTTTTGTGTCCTTGGCTGTATAGAAACTTTTAACTTTGATCACATCTCATTTATTTATTTTTGTTGTTGCTATAATTGCTTTTGGGGTCTTCTTCATGAACTCTTTGCATAGGCTGATATCTATAAGAGTTTTTCTAATATATTCTTCTAGAATTCTCATAGTTTCCTGACTTAGGTTTAAGTTTTTTATCTGTATGAGAGGTGTGGATCCTGTTTCAGTCTTACCTGTGGCTATCTACTTTTCCCAGCACCATTTGTTGAACAGGGATTCTTTTCCTCACCATAGGTTTTTATCTGTTTTGTCAAAAATCAAATGGGAATAGGAGGGTTATTTAATCTCAGGGTTCTCCGTTCTGGTCCATAGTGAGCAAAAGACATGAACAGAAAATATCATTATGTCAGATAACATAGGATCAGAAAGGGTTTTATAAAGTACCAAACAACAGATGCAGGTGAGGATGTGGAAAGAAAAGAACTCTTATACACTGTTGGTGGGATGACAAACTAGTGCAACATCTACGGGGATACCTCAGAGAGCTTAAAGTAGACCTACAATTGGATCAGCAATCTCACTGCCAGATATATACCCAAAGGAAAAAATGTCATTCTATGAAAAGAGTACCTGCACTCGAATGTTTATAGCAGCACAATTCACAACACAGAGATGTGGAAACAACCCAAGTGCCCACCAGCACATGAAAGTATTAATAAAATGTGATATATGTGTACCATA